TATCGAGGCTCAAGTGTAGTCAAGTAGGGGTGTTTTACCGGCAGTTGTTGATACGATGGTCTGGTTTATTTGCCACAAAGGCTAACTCGAAGCAGGCCAGCGATCGCGTTCAGTCGTCTTCCTCATCTAGTTGCTCGAACCTTGTGCCCACTGCCTTCATTACTCCCGGGTCGTGTGGGAGCTATCCTGGTGATCTAAGGACAGCACTACACAGGGGTCGGGGCACTGCTAGAGTCGAGAGGCATGCCTGATTTCTTGCCTGCGACGACACTTGTCACAGATGCATCCAGCAGCTCTATGAGGTATTTGACCATTGATGCTTGTTGCACTAGCTGCTAGTGACTGGGACATCTCTAAGAAAGCTTGTGAGAGAGTCCTCTAGGAGAAGATGGGACCCATAACTACATCAATGAACCAGGAGCAACTTTCATAAGTGAAGTTGATGCCTCGTGGCTATGCTTTTGGCACATCCGATTTTGTGTTGTGAATGAACAAGCACGACAGAAGAGTAAGACAAAGGACTATGATTGCTGGCCTGCTTTGAGTCCTGTGTCATTACTACAATCATATAAATGAACCATTGAAGCTGTGTCTTCAGGAATTCGGTGCACTAAATCAGCAGCGGCAGAGCCACCAACCTTTTCATTTAGGATATATTCTATAGCCTTGCCATCACGGAAAGTTGTGTGATGGTTATTCATAAAGGACTGTCTATAATAACTTACACCTGTTCCATTTTGATTTTCTGCTTGTTTGTTTTGCTTGTTCATTTGCTTGTTAAGATCCTAATATTATGGCACTCAGAAGCAAGGTGTGTCAGATTTTTATTTTTTGTCGTAACAATTGTTATTGGAAGAATTTGTGGACTATAAGCCTGTTCTTAACTTCAAGACTTCATTAGCTTATTTGTTGACATCAACTGCAATTCATCATATTTCTGAACACAGGCTGAAAAATGGCTTGAGGCTGCGGAGCTAGTCAAATCGTACATGGCCATGCAGACCATGGAGGTCGGAAGGACGGCTCCCGTGAAATCAGGTACTTGGGATTCCTTTTGCTGGTGTGGGCTGGCCATTAATTAATGAAGGTGGCCCAAACAATAAGTAATGCAAATTTTGCATTAGTGCAAGTTATCCTGTCTCTTGTCTGCAGTTCATTCTTAGTTCTGCCATTGGAGAAAGGAAAAATATCGTTATTTTTTATTTTACCTATTTTATGTATTTATTGAATACCGTGAGCCTTAGCTAGCCTTCACAGCAATGACTAGTAATAGGAAAACTTCGTGCAGACATGACTCAGTGTTACATGTGTGTTACAGTATATGAATTTAGCAATATAAGAATACGTAAAGCACGTTGAGGAATTTGCAAAAACAAAAGTTTTTTGCTTTTAGCTGTGGATGCCTTGCAATATTGCTGATTCATGCAATTTCACAATAGGCTGTTCTATTTTGCTATGGCAGACGGGGAAAAAAGAAAGCATATTTGGAAGTGTCACAGCATGTTATATATAGTCTGGTATATTTGGTCTGGTAAATTTGTTATGAACTATCATGTACTGCATCATTACTGAAGTTTCTGTGTGTCATGATCCTGACATGCAGACACAATATGTCGGCTGACACAAATGTTTTTGTGATCATAGTGAGCCTTATTCAAACAATAGCTTTCTGATATGTTTATTGATGACAGCAGCAATCGTATTGAAATTAGCGAGATGTCCTTATGTAAAATTTTGCTGCTTTTGTTAACTGTCCATCCTTTGGTGTGAAACGCTTCACTAATATTTTGAATGTGATCCTAAATTTGTGGGTAATTGTTACCCAGCATCTTCATTTATTGTTGCGTGGTTGATGAACAACCTTGCTGCCATAAATTGTGACAGAGAGATAATTGTGCACCTTTATGGTGGGAACGTGGCGACGCAAGAATTTTCTGAATAAGTGCTGTAATAAGAAAGTTACAAAGTATATAACTGCCTGCTTGCTCGACTGTTTTCGGTTTCTCACTCATCCTTACCTCCCTTCTCAGCAGCAGACAGGGGTAGGCGCACTAGCTCTGTGTCATGACTGTGCCCACTTTGGCAATGTGATAAGATGTCTCTGATTATGTCTTTGGCGGCAATCCAACAACAGAGCAGGGCTTCCTCTTCATATTTTTTCATCAGAAGCAGCAGGGTACTAGGCACTGGTGAGGTAAACAAACATGCCACAATGTATGCACCCTTTTCCGAGCGGTAGAGTCACAAGATGCCTCTTGATATCTCGGATGCTTTCTTCGGGCGGTATTGCTTGTCTCGGTAGTCTCGGCTCTACCAAAAGGGCAGAGGGAAGCAAAGGAAAATTAAAATAGCTGGGCAGCAAAAACTGCATCAAATCAGGGTGAAAGCACCATTTCATTGTGCAAAAGACTAGTTGACGAAGCCAGTGCCATGAAATGTTGCCCCTGGGCAAGAATAAGTAGCACGGACTATGCTACGTAACCACTGTGACGGCAAGTAGGACTGGTCCGGCACAGGAGAGGGGTGTAGGAATATGTTTTTTTTCAAAATGAATTGTCTGCACAGTGTGAAGCACTTTGACATTTGCAAAATGTGATTGCTATGGCCTTCTGCTCGAATTAGTGAGCTCATATAGTATTTGTAAAAAAAAAAAAATTTTCAAGCCTGTTTACTGGCTGTAGCACCATTACACATAGGTCGACGAACTCACTCGTGTGTCAAATCAGATAAGAGTCGCGAGTCTGAGCCCGATTGAGTCCTGGTGAGTAATATTTTCGTTCGTGCGAGTCTGAGTGGGTCTGGCTGAAAAAAGTTTTGTTAGTCCGAGCGAGTCCGAAGCGTAAGAAATAACCATTGAGTCTGAGTGAGTCGTACTTTTTTTTTTTTTGCCGACCTATGCCATTACAACGCAGAATCGCTGATTTCCAGTAGGTAGTGGCTTACTGGTTGTTTACATCCGACAAATTCATTTGTTTCTCTACTACAATAACAGCTGAGCAGCATTTATGAATGACATAGTTATTTCTGTGCAAGTATGGGTTCCAGGTATTGTGCATTAAATTTCTTATGTATGGTTGGGAAGAAGATATTGTACTGCTGAGGACTTACCAATATTGTGAACATTGGCTCTTTAGTATTACTTCTATCATCACATGAAAAGGTTGAATTTTCTTGGGCGCTTTTTCTTTTATGTCTTCAAAGACTTTTGAAGAACTGTAAAAGCACTTCAAAGTTTTGAGACATTTGTGGGAATTGAGGCTGGCCCGCTGCCTTTACGCGGGCTTTCCCGCCTTTTCTGCCGGACGAGGCAGCGGGCTTTCCCGCCTTTTCTGCCGTTCTCATGTCCCGACATGTCTGCCCTCCTTCGCTGTCTGCCGTGGTGGGAGAGCGGAGTGACGTTTAACTCCCTCACCCGGTAGCGGATGTTGGCGGTGGCGCCGCGCGCGGGGACTCCCAAGAGAGGTTTTCGCGCGCTGCGTCGGGAGCGGTCAGATACTCTCCGGGACAGCAAACGGTGAGCCACGCTATCTTTTCGTCCGTCGACTCCCGTCAGTCGGGGGCTCGTCGGACTTCGCTGACGGCGCCTCGCGCCCAAGGCGAACGCTCACCCGCTGTTTGCCCCGCTGCGTACGCACGGCCGAAGGGCGGTACGGTGTCCTAGTGCGTGGCCTCGCTACGCCGACCCGTCTCCCTTCGAAGCCAACGCGAGCGCCTTTGCCCTCGCTCGAGCAACCGGGCCTTTGCTCCGGTGTCTCCGTGGATCGGCTTTACCGCGGAGACGTGCTCGTGGCACCCCTGTGTAGTACTTTGTGCCCGTGGCGTGGATAAGCCTACTTGCTTTCCCGCCGCGCCTATTTGCAACGGGCTGTACTGCGTTTGGTGTTGCCACAATAAAGTGTTGCGACTTGAGCAGTATCGTGTTCTCGCCACGGCGACGGTTAACGCGTGCCCTGCGGCTCGCTAAGACCGAACCCACGCTGGTGGCCGTACTCCTTCGGGATACGTGTACACCACACATTGCAGTTTCATTCACACTTCATTAAGTCATTAAAATTTCTTATCGCATTGCACTGCTTATCTCTCTAAAGTGCAGATTTATTCCTTCCTAAATAGAGTTTCCTTTCAGCTGTTTCAATGATGCCATCTTTTCTTACTGCTGTCTCTGTACCTTTGTCGTTATAATCCAATGTGTTTGCTACTTACTTTCTTTTAGTTTATCAGCTTTGTTAGCTCAGCAAATTGTATTTTCTAATGTGTGTGTCTCATCTGCTCTTGTTCTACGCCTTCGAAAAAAGTTCCCATCGCCCTCCTTTTTTAGATGTCAGTTCAGTTGCTTTCACGTGTTGTCACTTCCTTATTAAGTCTTTTATGATTTGGTAGAATCGGGTACTCATTGCCCTCGTGCTTCACTTTGAAGGTCCATTACTGTTTCAGAAATCAGTCCATGTCCATGCGGCTGGGGTCAGCAACCTTCTGAGGCTGCTTTCACAGGGTAGAGACGTGGTTGAAGGCAGTAGACTGGACGTTAAGATCAAACTGTTTATTTGAGCGAACCTATGCCCGGTAAAAGGAAAGTCAGATTACAGTGGCAGAATGGCTCTGATAATGGCAAACGGAGCATCGGCCGTCGATCAACTCACAAGCGGTGAAGCGCATCATCATTTATACATGTATCATCAAACATTCGAGCATTATCGCTAGCAACCACGTAGGTTCCAGAATAATCTGTAATGTTCACTAAGCAGCCGTGATCTTAACAAAATGTTCTACAACAGTTTTGAAGCTTCTCTAACGCTGGAGGCGCAGTTTACGCTGAGAATTACGTACAGCGTAACGGGGAGATAACAAAACTTGAGGAAGGAATGGGGCACTGACACACATAGATAATCAGGAACGGAGGAAGGGCGAGCTTTTCAAACATCAAGAAAAAAGTCTGGCGAATTTGAACTGATAATGTAGAAAAGTCGAATAGAAGTCATGTTTACTGCCAGCACACATGTCACAAGGGTACAATTGGTAAATATAAGTTACAAGCAAAAATAAAAAAAAACTCTTTCAATGCTACTTGGGTGCTAAACATTCTCAGCCAGCTCACAAATATCTACATCAGAGCTGTTCACCGACAGACACAGTCGTGAAGGTGTTCAAAGGTTAGTCAGGAGGTGTTCGTCGGGTATGTGGCTATTTACATTGTGCGGTGGGCTGCACGATACTGCCTTGCAGGGCTGCAGATTCCTGACCCTGCTCTAAGCCATCATATTTGTTGTCATGGTAAATCTCTTAATTAATCTGTTTTTGGTGGTTAATTGCTTGTTACTTTTGCTTGTTACTTCTATGACCTGTACTGTGCCTGGGTCTTTGCGATATATAAAATCTGTCGTTTTCTTTGTTTCTCAGTTAAAGGGGCCTATGACACCCAATTTTCGATCATAATTTGTGTTATATGGGTTAATCCTTGGGCATTCACAAATGAGCTGCAAAACTTTTAGCATATTTGGTCGAGCCCTTAATTTATAATTGAATATTTTTCAGTTATAGTCGGGCAACACTGGTGCACTCAAGAGCCATGGTGTAGCAAGCATCTGGCTGTGTAAGCATCTGCAATCCAGCGAACAATATTTTTCTGTGGTCAGCAGTGTGTAAAATTTGGATAATTGAACTTTCTTCTACTTGGCACTGAATTGAACGATCCACAGCGGCTGAAACTGTGGTAGAAGATGACACCACCGCTCATTGCTGCACGTCATGTCAGAGGTGCCATGGCAAAGTGGCAGTCACTTGCAGTGGGCAGGATTTACAGCCGGTGACTTCTAGGGGCTGTTTTGCACTGAAATATTCTTCTATAAACGACTTTTCATATCCGTATAGGCGTAATAGCCCATCTACATCTACAGTTCATTCAATCCCTTCATAAGAGACACCGATATAAGAGAGAAGTTGGTATAAGACGCACCAGTGTGCATACAGGAAAATACGGGTAGATAAGAAAACTGATATGAGGTACCCTGCTTGTAAGAGACATCTCAGATAAGAGACAATAATTGCTGCCTGAAGCATGCCTCTTATAAAGGAGTTCAACGATAGTTTTTGCTGAAAACCACAAATTATTGGGTGACCGTGTCATGACCCCTTTAACGCTTTTCCATGTTCAATTTATATTTCTATGTTTCAAAAGAAGGCATTGGTATTGTGAATTTTACTAACATCTCTACTCTATCTTTTACTCTTTTTCAGAACAATCGTGCACGATACAGTGAAATATTGTCGTGTGGAATGGTTGTCACCGAGCCTTGTATATCTGTAAATTATATGTTGTGTTCTTTGTTGGTATGTTGCATGTAGGTACTGTCGCTGTATTAGGCTTTAAAAGGACACAAAAGAGAAGTTTTGACTGATAGGCTATGTCACTGGTGCAGCGATCTGTTGGTGTCCTGAGCTCTTCTTTTACGAGGCAGTTTAGTCAATACAGCTCAGTTGTGCTTCATTACATTTTGGTTAAATCTGAAGGCATACTTATATTTTAATTATAACTTTCAGATTTTGAAATATGCACAAATAAATTATGCATCTTTTAAATAGAAGCAGCAGGCTGGTTGATGTTTGTTATCAGATCTTGCCAATATAATCTCTTGTGGTGTACAACCTGGAGGGCATGTCGTACCCACAGCTTCAGAAAGAAAATATTATGCTAAAAACTAAGCAGCAACACGAAGGAAGCTACAGTCACTGTCATACTTAAATTAATCAGATCACACGTCCAGCATGCTGTTTTGATTCTGTCCGTGCTATGTGTCTTCTTTCAGCGACTATAGATGTATAGTGTGTTTACAGTGTGTTTTACAGTGAGGCTGTGGTAAATTTGTAAATTTATAGGGTCGTCTGGTTGGAGACTGCATATAGGAGCCTGTGTTTGTACCCGTTAGAATGTCTTAGAGCTGGCATCTTATTTAATGGGTAGACACAACTCTCATATTCAACACCAGCATCACTGGTTCACTGTGGGAAGCAGCTCAGGGCTGGAGCAGTCTGCCCAGCTGGGTCTATTTTGGACAGAAATTTGTTAGCTGAATACCTGCCTGATGGCATGCTTAAGGCATGATGCCATGGTGTAGTACCTACTGTAATAAGTATTGGGAGCACTTCTTTACAATCGACTAGCATCATCGAACTGCCCTGTGCAGAATGATGTACAGAAAAGCTCTTTTGACCCAGTTTATTGAAACACTTTTAAACTATCAAACAGTGAAATATGTCGTAGGTGTCCTTGCTTAACCTTTTGGAAACAACAAGAATTAAATATGGATCTTCCCCTAGTATCCCTTTGATAACACACATAGGGACAATGAATGTGTTCAAAGCAGCATTTATTGAATGAAAAGATTTTTTATATTGTTCAAACAGTATAAATGTGCTGCATAATGTTGTGCACGTTTATGTTATAAATATTGTTGTGTACAGTTATTGACAAGGTGTTCATTAAAGCAGCTTATCACAGTTACACATGTGCTGAATTTCATGAAGGTTGTATACTTTTTGTTGAAAAATCTGCAGCACCTGATTGCTATACATGTTTTTCATAGAAGATTCGGCATAGGGACTTCAGGTTCTATTATGACATTTTCTCTATGAATATAGAATAGAGCAGCTGCACATGTTATATGGTGCGCTGAATTTGAACTGTACTCATTTGGACTTGGAAGACTAAAACATTATTATAAGAAAAACTAATGGCGGCAACGAAAACACATCCAGGAATCTCGCAGTGAGCGCTTCCACTAGCGTGCTCATGTGTTCCTTTCTTTCTCATGATGGCCTAAAGATAATTAGGTTCCCTCTATCAGCAGCCTGTGACACAAAAGCAAGCCTGTGGCATCTAAATAAAGTTTTATATGGGCTCGTGTTGGTCAAACAATTCAAAATCCTTTTGCTCTCCTCCTCATGTAGGAACACTGGTGTCAGCCGGCTGTTAACAAAAGTGTGTCCAAGTCCTTTTCTTTATTAAATTGCCACATTTACGATACTGTACTTCTGTGTGTACGCGGAAATAATACTCAAAGCAAGCCACGCGTTTATCATGATATTTTGAGGCTTTTGGCATTACTGCTCTGCACTTCCTACAGCCTTTCACGTTGAGCGCATAAATTGTAGAGCGCAGCTCTTAGTACCCCTTTCCTGCAATTAGTGGCGTCGCCATTGGCATCAGTGTAACTGATAGAGGGAACGAGGACGAAAGAGAGGTAATGAGCAGAGTCTGCCGACATCACGAGCCACTGGCCTTTAACAGCACTTTCTTCCTACATCACGGGCGCTGTCCCCTAGGTCGAAGCTCATGGGCATGCAGTACATGGGCACTGCGGCTGACTTCACTTGTCGTAACGGGGTGGTCCGCGCTTCTCTTGGTTCATGACGCCTGCAATATACAGAGTGGTTTTGCGCAGCACTCGAGCGCTGGCAGTTTCTGTAGTAATATGTAACGACTGTTACTTTGCTACTACTGTGGATATCCAAAACTTCAATCATGCAGCTAGTGTTGCCCTAACACGAAGCTGCGCACAGAATTCGCATTGGGCTATATTGTATTCTTCGAAGAACTTTACAGTGAAAGTTGTACGATATTGTAGCGTACTCGCCCCATGGAGGCGCGAAAAGAAGACACCTACACTCCTTGAAGTTTGGACAATACTAGTATATTTTCCAAGAAAAACAGGCTTCGAAAGAGACAACCAAAAGGGGCGTGGCTGCGTATCTTCCGCGGCGCTCCGGAGATAACGTGAGGCATGTTGGTCGCGTCTGCGCCGTTCGCCTCGGCATACGAATTGGTATGCGCACACAAATAAAATTATCGCGATCACCGGCGTCATCGCCCGCTACAAGGAGTCCCCCCCTAGACCGCGGTGCCTGGGGAAAAAAAAAACGAGCAAATTTGCGAGTTAGTCCATGAGGTGAGCTGGTTTCGCGCGATCGAGAGAACGACGTCCTCTCTGTCGCGAACACGAATGGTCACAGTTTTGTGCAACCGTCAACGGCGCTTTCACTGTGTCACGTCGCACGAACACATGGGTTGCCTCATTCATGTCTGGGAAAGAAACACACTTTGGTTGCGGCTGACGCGTGGTGCGCTGGGTTGCAGGTGCTCCAACCAGGAATGTAGCCTTTCCATATGTTCTGAAGGCGTCGGCGTAGCGCTTGGTTTCTCACCGAAGAATTCTCCCGGTAGTCTGATTGTAGAGCCGTACAGCATTTCTGCTGCACAGAATCCGAGGTCTTTTTTTATCGTCGTACGCAGGCCCAGAAGAACGAGAGGGAGCTTCTGCACTCGGTGCTTTCTATCCAATTAGGCCGTTAAAGGATGCCTTCAGTTGACGGTGTAGGCGCTCCACCATTCCATTGCTCGCTGGATGGTAAGCCGTGGTGTACTGGAGCCGTGTTCCCAGAAGTCCGTGCCAGCGCAGAGAATAGGTTTCTCTGGAATTGTCGTCCATGATCGGTCGTTATGCGCAGTGGGCAGCCATAGCGTGAAACCCATGTGGCCACAAACACCTGTGCGACGGTCCCGGCTGCGATGTCCAGAATCGGCGTCGCCTCGGGCCACCGTGAGTAGCGGTCTACACAAGTGAGCAGGTATCTGTAATCACTGGGAAAGAGGAAGAGGTCCCACCAAGTCCATGTGCACGTGGTCGAAACGACACTCTGGTGGCCGAAATGCTTGGAGTGCTGTGCGCGTGTGACGAGTCACCTTGACCGTTTGACATGTTCGGCACGTCTTCGCCCAGTGTCGAACGTCGGCGTTGATTCCGGGCCTCACAAAGCGGCCAGTGACGAGCCTCTGCGTCGCGCGTATTCCTGGGTGGCTGAGGTCGTGAAGGCTGTCAAACACTGCACGCCGAAACTGGACGGGGACGAAGGGTCTTGGAGATTTCTGCGATGTGTCGCATGTGACCATAGTCGTTGTGTATGGTAGCGGGATCTCTTCGAGCACCAGTGACAGTGGATTCTGCCTCATCTCGGTTAGCTCTGGGTCTTCCCGCTGGGCGATGGCCAATGTCTCAAAGTCGACGGACGCTGAAACGGTGTCGATACGGGAGAGTGCGTCGGCTGCTTGGTTTTCGCTCCCCGCTATGTGGCGGATGTCCGTAGAAAATTCGGAAATGAAAGAAAGTTGGCGCAGTTATCTTTCCGAATATGAGGAACTGTTGTTCTTGAACGCATACGTCAGCGGCTTCTGGTCCGTTAAAATGTGGAAAATGCGGCCTTCTAGGAAGAAACGGAAATGCTTTACGGAAGAATAAATGGCCAGCATCTCTCTTTTAAAGGTGTTGTAGCGCACTTCCGCCTGTTTCAGACGTTTAGAAAAGAAACCTATCGGTTTCCAGTCATTGCCGTCGTATTGCTGCAACACTGCTCCCACTGCCGTCGTTGAAGCGTCAACCATGAGCCGCGTCGGCGCGTCGGAAAGCGGGTGCATCAGAAGTGTAGCGGAGGCAAGCTGAGTTTTCGCGTCCTGGAAGGCTTTTTCGTGGTCCGCTGACCAGTGAAACTCGGGCGTTTTCTTGCCGTCCCGGCGCAGCAAGTCAGCGGCTGTAGAATGTGTGCACAGGATAAGATGAAGCGCCTATGGAAGTTGATTAGCCCAAGAAACTCGCGCAACTTGCGGAAAGAGGTAGGCGTGGGGAGTTCCCTGACTGCTTGCACCCGTGATTCGAGCGGCAAGATGCCTTGTGGGCTGATTCGATGACCTAGGAAATCTAGTGCTTCAACACCAAAGATGCACTTTTGGGGCTTCAAAACCAGACCGTGCTCGTCAAGACGCTTGAAGAGGAGGCGCAGGTGATTTTCATGCTCTTCCGGCGTTTTGCTGGCGACCAAAATGTCGTCTAAGTAGACAAAAACAAAGAGCAGTCCGCGAGTGACCTCATTTATGAAACGCTGGCAAGTTTGTGCCGCGTTCTTCAGTCCGTACGGCATACGAACAAACTCAAAGAGGCCGAAATGCGTTGTCAAGGCCGTCTTTGGGATGTCGCTTGGTTCTACTGGAATCTGGTGATAAGCGGCCATCAGATCCAGCTTAAAAAAGATGGTCGTTCCCGCGAGGCGAGCGCTGAAATCATGTATGTGGGGGAGAGGATATTGGTCCTGCCGTTGTCACAGCATTGAGTGCCCGATAATCACCACAAGGACGCCAGTCACCAGACTCTTGTTTTGGCACCATGTGCAGCGCGGAAAACCAGTTGCTGGAAGAAGGTCGAATAATGCCGAGTTGGAGCATGTGGTCGAACTCACGGCGGGCGACTTCGTGTCTTTGTCCAGCGAGTCTCCTAGGTCTAGCGGTGACGGGCGGTCCGGATGGTGACAAGTGTGATGCGTCACCTTGTGTTTGATTGGCAGTTTGGTGTTCCGAGGTCTGGTGATTTGAGGGAATTCAGCCAGAATCTTTTGAAAGTTTGACTCTGGGTTGAAAGTGCAAATGCCGCATGAGGACAGGTCAGACTTCATAACAGCGAGCGAAGTAACGTTATCCTTGAGACGACGATCGCGAACGCTGACGTCAAGATTGAAGTGGCTCAAAGTCCGCTGCCAGGATGGCAATTCTGACGTAGGCCACAACGAAGAGCCATCGATATGTACGCCTGAGTCCGATGTCTATCGTCATTGACTGGACTCCATATGATGCAATAGCAGTATTATTGACTGCAATTAGGCTCGAAATGGACTTGCCACCCTGGCGATGTTGAGCTGCTGCTGGTAGGATAGATAGCTCCGCTCCGGTATCGACAAGGAGGCGTGTGCCGGTGATGCGGTCGACAACGAAGAAGAGGCGGCTTGAACGATGGCCCGTGTCGCTTTCCGCCGTTAGCGACTGGCCGGTGCGTTTCCCGTCCACGAGCATGGATAGGTGCAGCGAGTGGCTTGCTCTCTAAAACGACGGTGGTACCAGCAGATGTTCTGCTCTGCCTCGATTGTGTGTCCGCGGTGCTGCGGGCTTCGAGCACGGGACGGCGAACGATGCCGTGCAGGCCGGTGTTTGTTGGACAGGGCGAGGTTTTCAACTGCTGCAGCCAGTCGGTCAACTCTGTCCTCTAAGCGACCTAACCGGTCTGCATGATCGGGCCTTCCCGTTGCAGCAATAGACATTTTTGGTGGCTGAGTGCAGTTGGTGATGCGGTCGGCGAGTTGAGCCAGACAGTTCGAGAGTCACGTCATCCGAGCCAGCGAGTATCATCCGTGTTGACTGTGGCAGTCTCTGCAAAAACAACTCGCGAAGCAATGGATGATGACGCTCCTCTGACGCTTGTTGGCCCAGCAGCTGACGCATTCGGTGGAGTAGTTGTGAGGGACGCTGGTCACCGAGCTCTTCATGAGACAGGAGCTGTTGCAGCCTGCTCTGTTCGGACACCTCAAGACGTTTCAGGACGGTGCTTTTTAGTTCGTTGTAGAGCTTCTCCGATGGAGTGGAGGCGAGCACATCGTCTACGGCGTCAGCGATGTCAGGTGGCAGTGCT